CCTTCCAACCCTAAATCTATGAAACTATGAAACTATGATGTAAACTGCAATCATCTTCAGTTATTGTTAATCAGAGTGGCAATGGAGCTGCACTGATTAACACCACCTGAGGATATGGCCCTTGATGTTCAAGTCATTTAAGGTTAGGCAAGGGCACGATCCTAACAGGTGTTGAGTGAGTGACTGAAAGAAAAGGTTTTTTGGTGGAGTTTTTCAGAACATAAATTATGTTTTTATGTTGCATATTTGTTATCTAGAAAAAGAGTATGGCAGCTTCTACCAAAGCTGGTCACAACTCCAGGAGACACCTGCAAAAAGGACGTAATACTTCAGTTATATTTGGGATGTGCTGACTATATTCGGTGCTGCTACCCAATGAACTGCCTCATGGTTTGATCCTTTATGACAGTACACAAGCTGTGCTTATGGCAGAGCTGGAGGGAGTGGACCAAAATAGGCACGCTTCAAGGTTGTTTTCAGTTACACCAGCTACCACATCTCCCAAAAGAGGATCTAGAAGCTGTGGACCACCTGAGTATATGGCATTATTGCCGTGACACCAATGTACCCATACAGCAGGAGTTGCAGGAAGTTTTGAGGTAAGGGCAGGCTCCATTAATCCTATTCCGTTCTGGATTTATGCTTGTTTTATACCCTTGCACTTGAACAGAGTGGCACAAAGATGAGGGTGGGGGGCCTGATCTTCAGTTTTCAGTATACTTTGAACTATTTATTCCTCTCACAAAGGTATGTTAGCTGAGGAACGCAAAACTTATTTGTAATCTCCTCTGAGAATGAAGGGATCTGGTAGGCCACACGTTGCCTTTGACTAACAGATGTCAGAAAAGGTGATCATAAGGACACCTGGATACAAAAGAGGCTTCTGTTCCACCTGCATCTAGCAGAGGGTCTGTGGTTGAGGCTGGAGCAAGGAGTAACTGCACAGCAGAGCACACACACACACTACTAGAGCCTTCATTTGGGGTCTTCTGACTTGCACCAGACTGCAGTGCTCTACTGAATGATGAAAACCCTGAGAGATGGTAGCCCAAGAACTTCTAGTCTTTTGCAGCTGAAGCTTCCTTGTTTGTAGGTACAGTTTATACCAACACTTTCTTAGCTAGCTGATAAGGTGCTTGGTTTGTATATTAGGTATCTAGACATCCAGCTATTAAAATCAGTGTCTGAAGTTCAACAGCTAATGCAAAAAGGGCATTAAAACAGCCTCCAGAATGGAAGATAAGGATCAACTGTTCAGCTCATTGAACAATGGACAAAAGCTCAGTCTTGTTGTAACTGAGGTCCACCTTTCACCTCTGGATGATCATAAATGTGGACCTAAATCAGGGGTGGGCAAAATACAGCCTGTGGGCCAGATCTGACCCATCAACTGATTGTATCTGGCCCGCAGGTCAGCAACCACAAAGTCATAGGATCTGGCCTATAGGGAGCTGGCACTTCTGGGTGCTGCGTCACGCCAGGCAGGTGGGCACATCCTGGCCCTGTCCACAGCTTACACCAGCTCCCACCCCATGCACTGGAAGCAGCACTGGGTGTATACTGGCATCAGCAGTAGATGCTGCCAGCAGGTTCCTGCTGGGGGTTGGGGCGACTATCTGGGACCGCAGCCGATGTCACCAGCATCACCTACAGACCCTGAAGGATGCCCCAGTCCCCAGGGGGAAGCTGATGCCTGCATCCACAACTGATGCCAGCACCCGCCCGGCAGTGCTTCCAGCACACAGGCCAGGAACTGGTATAAACTGTGGGGCTGTGCTGTAGGTGTGGGATGGTTGGGGAGGGGGGGAGAAAACAGGGGGGCAGGAAGTAGGGGGGAGACAGAGAGGGGCAGGCATACCCATGGGGAGAG